TAAAACTCACCAGCTACATTTCTTGTCTTTCTCTTGTGAACAGCTCAGAGGATGGCAACTTTGCAAAACGGATCACTGCGATCAAATGGCAGAGATTGCCTACACACTGAAGGTTTCCCTACCACTGACAGTTAGAGCCCATGCGATGGAGAAAAGGTGCTTGCTGCAAAACTTGATACAAAACCACTAGATGATGAAGAATGGTCTCTCAGTAGAAGTGAGAGTGTTATCCTAGAAACACAGATGTTATTCTTGCCTCTGGTTCAATTCCTTTGTGCTAATAGCTAATGTTTAAGCCAAAATTTCTCAGACACAACACTCCTTCTGTACGAATTCCTAGGCACTTAATTTGTGGTTCTGAGTATCTGCTCATAGCTGCAAATGAAGTCACCCAGGCACTTGGAAGGCCCATGTATTAATAAATCAGTTAAGATGGGTTTCGTAACAGGTGCTCAGTGTGACAGGAATGGACAACCTTTCTTCGGTGCAGGTGCTTTTGTTTAAAAACAAGGATATTGTTACCCTGAAATGCAAAATTACTCTTTATTCATTTGAGGAATCAAACTTCTCACTGCTTTTGACAACTATTCTTCTAACTGATAGCTGTGAGGAAAAGGACTACTGCCAGTAACAGCCTCTCCTTAGACAACCTATACATTTGTCCTCATTTTTGAATGTCCTTTCAAAACAAGGAGCCAGAGAGAGGACTCAAAAAAAATATGGAGAATTGAGAAAAAGCCACCATGTGAAAATAATCTGCAAAATTTATTTTTTAAAGAGAAAGATGTAGCTCTGGAAGAGAGGCTGAACCCTTCCTGACACAGACAGGAGGCTGACTGCAGACTAAGTATTTACTACTGGCCAAAGCTAGAATTGCATGAACTTGAGACAGACTGCAGTTCATTGGTACATAAGACTGAAATAGGGCACATTCAGCTGAGCTGAAAACCATTTTCCTGTACCTAATTTCTCATTATGCAAATCCACTTCTGTTGGGTTCTATCTTGCTTCTATTGCAGTTTACGATGGAATACATAGGACTGAAGAGCATTTCAACTACGTGTCAATACTTACCCTACTATTTCATTTGTGAAACTGGCATCCTCTCCATCCTCACTCTTAAACCCAACCAAAATTTCTAAACAAGAATATAGCAGCATAGAGTCTTAAGCTTCGTCTCTTTCAGTGCTGGAGAACAGAAAACTCATGAACATAACTCTGAACAAAAACAACAGCAACAAGCTGCTTTCTCAGCACTCACTCTGGCCACTCCTCTGCAGCCAACACTATGTAGTAGAAAGGGAGGAAATCCAACATGCATAAAACAACAATCAGTCCTAAAACACTTCTAAGTAGGGAGGTAAAACCTGTTTCAAGAGCAACAGATGGAAGGGAAAGGGTGCAGTTTCCTGGACATCAGATAGGGATTAAAAAGTATGTCTTGGCCATATCAAGACTGCAAAGTCTGCACTGTGCAAGAATTCTCACCTCTTTTAGTTGATCAGCACTTCCCCATGATGCTGAGCGCTGATGTGATCGCTTTTCTGCTCCTTCTTCAGCCCAACAGCTAGGTGTCTGGAAGAGGAAAAAAAATATATACATGTATACTGAATTCCCCGGGTTACAAAACATTTTGTCACAAATTATTGGTTTAACCTTTCAGTAAAGTAAAGAGTCCAGACATTATAAACAAAAAATAAATTTAAGAATCTAATATGCAGCAGTAGTATTATCAATGAAGAAAAAATTGTGTTGATAAATCAGTTTGAGGCTTCGTAAGTTTATGCTTACAAAGGATGAGGACAATGAACATTACTGAAGAAGAAATCAGCTAGCTGACAACCACAAAAACACCCCACCTGACTGTTCTTATCTTTGCTTCAGCATACATTTCAGTTTTTTACCCAGTGAAGAGTTAGAAAACCACAATATACAAGAAAAATATTAAGAAATGAGAGACTAAAAGCCAGTATTCACTTCTCCCACGTGTGTTCCTTCGTCACTGTGCCATATAATCAATTTCTTTCTTTTAACTCTGACTCAATACGTCTTTTATTATTTTTGACAATGACCTAACAAGCAGAAGAACAGACTTTTTCCAGCTTTGTCCGCAAGCTCAGAAGGCTGCTAACATAATCCTTGAATTTAGGAGTTACAACTCTAGGAGATCTTAGGAGATCCAAAAACTGAGAAGGTGCTAGAAGCCAGTTCTGCACCTCCTAGGTTTATTCACCATGAGAGTATTACAGAACTGTGGATATCCACCAGCAATTTTCAAACAAAAAGAATCACTGGCTGGCAGAGGGGAAATGATGACATTTAAAATTCATAGATTTGGGGGTAAAAGTAATATAAAAGTCAGGGCTACATATACTCAAAAATTCACAAACTCACAAGACTTTTTCAACAATTTCCACTGATGTTAGCTGAATCCAACTGCAAGAAATAAAACCATACCACTGAAAACTATGAAAACTCAAAGGTGGTTTTCATGGCTACAAGATCAATCAGTGACCTCCGGCAAGCGGTGACACTTGCATGGGGGAGCTGGGACTCCACCCAAGCAGGTCAGACTGCTTCAGGGATCCATCTCTCCACATGCCTTTCCTTTAGCCTTCCCCCATCTATGCATGGAAGCCCAAATCCTCCACAACTTTTCTCACTCTTGCTTCCTCTCTGGGACTTAGAACCTTCTGAAGCACCCTCACTGATCTACTAATAAAGGAGAGCTGACGTGGCCTTGAAGAATACCACAATAAGCAGTATCTAGAGCCCCTCACTCTACTCTGAGAAGGGGCAAAAGCAGCTCCCTGGTGCTCAGAGAATGGAACCACACACGTTAAATACTGTTAAATACTGAATCTTAGTTTCAGGTTGTAGACTACACTGTTAGAATCAGAGAGCTGCTACAGTATTATATGGCCTACAGCCTGGCACCAGTGCCAATGTTTATTATGATAACAGGCACATTGTGCACATAAGTCCACATATCCCATTTCTGTTTTCTGCCAGCCCTGATTTTTTGCTGCATGTTCTCAGGAAAAAAAACACAAGTCTTTATAAAAGTCAGACTTCTGTGTATTTATTATGAGCCTGCGTGGGGATCTGAGAAAGAACCCTTAATGTGGTTATGAAAAAAACAGTCAACAAGAGCTAAGTCATCTATTTAAAGCTATCATGAAAATACAAGTCATTCAGCCAGGCAAATCCACAACTCAGATAGATACCACCTGATGAGACTGTGTACACCTACATAGGGCCAGACAACATGCAACCCAAGGTACTGTGGGAGCTGGCTGAGATGGTCACCAAGCCACATTCCACCATACCTGAAGAGTCCCAGCTGTCAGATGGAGACCCCAGAGACCAGAAGGAGGGAAACATCACTCCCATTTTTATGAAAAGGGAGAAAGACAGGCCCAGGGAATTACAGTGAGCCTTATGTCTGTGTCTGGGAAGATCATGGAAGACATCCTCCTAGAAGCTACATTAAGGCACATGTGAGACAAGAGGAGAATGTGAGACAGCCAGCACAGATTCACTAAGGGCTCACCAATCCAGTGGCCTTCTATGATGAAGTGATGGTAACAGCAGACAATGGAATGGCAACCTAAAGTCATCTACTTGGATTTGTGCAAGGCATTTGACATGGTCCCACACCACATCCTTGTTTCTAAATTGGAAATATATGGATTTGAAAGGCACACTATTCAATGGATAAAGCATTGGTTGGAAGGTCACAGCTGTTGTGCTTAACACCTCTACATCCATGTGGAGGCTGGTCACAAGAAGTGCCCCTCAGAGGGTCCACTGTATTACTGGTTCTGTTCAATATCAATAATAGAGGTAGAAAGAATCGAGTGTAACCCCAGCAACAACATCAGATCCAAGCAGTGCAGTTAATACAAAAGAAGAAAGGGATGTTATCCACTGGGATCTGGACAAGTCTGAGAAGTATGCACTTCCCTACTCAATGAGATTCAACAAGGCCAAGCACAAGGCATTGCACTTGGGTCACAGCAATCCCAGATGTGTACAGACTGGGAGAACTCCCTGAGAGGAGCTCTGCAGAGAACTTGAGGTTCTGGTGGATGAAAAGTTTGACATGAGCCAACAGTATGCACTTATAATACAGAAGACCAACTATTTCCGAGGTGGCACCAAAACAGGAGCAGTTTACAGAGCAAGAGAAGTACTCCTTACCCTGACCTCATGAGACCACACATGGAATACTGCTTACAGATATAGTCTGATAGTGATAGGATAAAAAAGAAAGGCTTTAAACTAAAAGAAGAGAGGTTTATATCAGATTTTAGGGAAAAATTTTTCACTCGGATGGAGGTGAGGCACTGAAACAGGTTGTTCAGAGCAGCTGTGACTGTCCCATTCCTGGAGGCATTCAAAGCCAGAGACACTGGGACTCTGGGAAGGCTAATCTATTGGACAGCAACCCTACCTATGGCAGGTGAGTCCAGCTTCAAAGCCATCCTATGATTCTATAAACTATTTTTTTCCTAGAAGTGTCCTGTTCCATGCAAATGTTACCTACATATACTTGTTCTGTATTTTAATGGAGCTTTCAAGCTGTGGGCTTTCAAAATGGCTGTATTCAGTTTTGGGCCTCTCACTACAAGACAGACATCAAAGTCCTGGAGCGTACCCAAATAAAGGCAACAAAGCTAGTGAAAGGTTTGAACATAAGTCTTCAGAGAAGAGGTAAGAAAACTGTGATTGTTTAGTCTGGCGAAAAGGAGGTTCCGGGGAGAACTTGTCACTCTCCACAACTGCCTGAAAGGATGTCATAGCGAGGTGGATTTGTCAGAACTCTTCTCCCAGGCAAACTAGTGATAGGAGATCTACTGGCCTTTAGTTGTGGCAGGGGAGGTTCAATTTGAATATTGGAAAAATTGCTTCTCAGGAAGAGTGACAAGGCATTGAAATAGGCTGCCTGGGGAGGTGAAAGAATCACCATCCCTGGAACTTTTCAAGAAACATGTAGACGTGGCACTGACAGACATGCGTTTACTGGGCACAGTGGTGATGGGTTGATGGTTGGACTAAATGATCTTAGAGTTCTTTTCCAGCCTTAATGATTCTATGAAATTAACATTCCAGTGATGTTTTCTGAACATCACATTACTCCACAGTTTGATGAACAACTCCAAAACAAAGTGGAAACAGGTGCTTGAATATTTTCCTTTAGGCCAGGAGGATGTGGCAGGCATCACTATAAGTTCAACAACAGCATAATAAATAGAAAAGACAATGAGTATCTAAAAAGTCTGAGTTGCAAAAACATAAATAGACAAAACAGAACAAACTAAGGAATGTAGTGAGAACTTGATGGCTTTTTTTTTTTAAAGCATAGATATTGATCTAAATAGGAAAAACAAGAATTAATAGTAGCATTCTGAAGAATTTCATCAACAGTACTGGTACTGCTAGAAAAGACAGAGGTGAATACCTGCATTGCATTTGATTTAATAAATGAGATCAGAATAACAAATATGTAAAATCCATTCACTCAGCTCTAGATTTTGTATGTCCTCAAACTATGCTTTGACACTCTTCCAGTTTAATATTATCCCTGGAGTCAAGGATTACACGTTTGCTTTCAATCTCTGGTAAATTGAGGCAAGTCACAACCTTTCAAAATATACCTACAAATACCAGGATAGAGATAGATCACATCCATCACTTTTCTTTGCAATATTATAAAACAGTATGATACTCTCCAGCACATAGCAAACTCAGGCAATATTGTACTAATGTGCTATTTATTATCAACTGGAAAAAAAAGTTAAAAATTAACCTAAGCAGTTGCTGGAGTATCATAGCAAGCTGGACTCTTCTTTAAATGCTTTACATTTCTGCTTCTAACATAACCCACACTAAATGAAGAAAAATATGGGTTTTATAATTGCATATTTTTATACTCAAGCAAAACTTCCCAAAAAAAAGATTCACATTCTAATACAACAAAATAAGAACAAGTTGTACTGCACTCCTAACAAAGCCATGTTTTGTGAAAGTTGTTTTCCCATCTTTATTTACAGCTTCTACACAGCAATCTTATTCACATAAGTCTTCATCTGAAGCCACTGCAAAGTGCACTCCTCACATGTTAAACATTTAAAAAAACAGGATGAACAAAATTCAAAATGGTATCTGAAGATAAATTTCTGCATCACAGAAAGCAAAACCAAAGTTAGCTGCTTCATCTCAAGTCAGAAGCAAAGTAACAGAAGTCACCAGTACCACCTGTGAAGCTGGCAATGCCACTTAAAAGCTGAAACAAATTTATTGCATTAAGCATGAGCTAACCAGGATATTTCCTACAATTTTATGAGAAGAAACTATGGTTCAAAATATTTTAGGATGAGAATTGGAAAAGTTAAATAATGCATGATTCAACTTCAAGAGGAGGATGGCTGATATTTTGAAATGTGAAGGTCCTGATCTCAGCTGACACAAAGCATGTGCACGGGATAGGGTGAGCTGCAAACACCACATCTAGCTGCTCTTCTCAGTTTTAATGTAAATCACAATTACCATTGTTCTAACTCATCCAGCCTTGCAGGGATTAGCATTTCTTCCAAAGCCTTCGGTAATTCTGCCTTGTTTTTCCATGTATATCAGGGATATACATCTACATACATTTTATTTCATTTAGATTGGAACAACAACATACCAACCTACCTAAATGTAAAATAAAACTGAAATAAACATCTCACATTTTATAGCCAGCCCTTCACTCTAATTACTATATCTAGCTTGCATCCCAGAAGAACTAGTTTTGTGGGATGGTGCAAAGATTAAGAACATGAGTCTGTTTTACTATGGAGTTGGTAATGTTTCTGAAGAACTTTTTCATTTAAAAAAATGCAACAGCACTAGACAGTCTGATCCGCCTTCACATGTTTCTAGAGCATTCAAATGACCTTCAGAAATTTGACACAAAGAAATGCCCTAAGGAGTTAGAAATTGACTTGATTATAGGTGGCTCCTCTTAAATATCTGAGAGATTAAGAAAAGTCAGAATGATAAACTTGTAGTTGTATAGCATGCACCTCTTCCTCCTTGATATCTCCCTCAAAAGTTAAAAAAAACAATCCTGTTAACTAATATTCCATTTAAAAAGCTTCAATCTCCTGGATTATGATGTCAGTTTTTAAGCAACAGAATCTCTACTCAAAAGGAAACAAAACATCATACAGGTGATTAAAGAACGGTAAGTCTTGATCTACATGGAAGCAGAAAAAACATTTTAGCCAAGCATTTCAGCTTAGTAACTCTGCATTATTCTTTAGATTAGAGAATAGTTCAACAAAAATCCTGAAATGCATTTTGCAAACTTTTCTTCACTATTTGTTTAATACTTAATTGCCATATACAATGAAAAAAGGCACATCCAAGCATCTTGGAACCCAGTTAAAATGGAGGAGGAATCACTGATTCATATACCACTTGGACATTTGTTATTTTTTTGTTATTCAGATCAAGAAAGATTAGATAGATTCATTTTAACTGGCAATATATGATGCTGATGTCATTGAAAATATTTTTATCCCAAATCTCTCTTTTTCATTTTATAAAAAATGCTTTCAACGATTTAGTTACTGCCAAGTAATTACATTAATAAACTATGATGATTATCCAACTGTTTCTGACGATTCTGAGGTTAGGCATAACCATTTCAACATAGAATTATTGCTCAAAGCTGGCAGAAATTGTTACATGTATAGCACAAAGAAGAAGTATACAAAATTGCTCAGTCAGTGTTTCTGACCAGACAGAAGAAACACAGAAGGAAGCTAGTTGAATTTTAAATTCTCTTAATTGAAAACTCAAACTTTACTAAAAAGGAGGAGGTAGGAAAGCAGAGGAATTCAGGAAGGGTACACAAGGATATACAAGGTATGTCACTGTGTACAATAACATAGCATAGCAGTAAGTTTATCTCCATTTCTGAAATATGCAGATTCAAAGAACTTACAGTAAGACTCATTAAGGGTTCACCTAAGCAACAATGACCAGAACACCACCTTTTTATTATTACAATTTTTAACTACAGAAATTCTAAGGAATAATCACCATCTTCACAGAACTGCACAAAATCTAGATCTAAAGTTAATGTTTGATTAAGGAAAATAAGTACCCTTGAATGAGAAATCATTATTCCACCTACAACCTAAGTTGTACTGAAAGAGATCAGTAAAAGTAAAATGAGTAATTTATTTTCCAATGAAAAACACATACAAAAAAATTGATTTTATTGATTTTCATTATCTTTTTATTGTTTCTTATCATCCTCCACTCTGATAAACCACCAAGTGTAATTATTTTCAGCTACTGAAAACTATATGGACTCCCTTGCTCTGAACTGTTTCTTAGCCAAGAAACACAACATAGTGAAAGTACATGTGCTGGTACTCATGCAAAGAGCAGGGTGTTAATTTGTCACATATACATTCTATCAAGAACTAGGAACTCATCCTTGGTTCTTGAAACTAGATAGGCTTCAAACCACAGAGTTCGGTCGAAAACAAAACCAAAACATAACTCGGTAATTTCCTTTAAAAGCCTTCCTATTGAACATCTTACTTGCAAAAGCTTGGAAGCTGCTGTGTCAATCACTATGCTTATTCCATTTTGTGTCTGTGCACTCCTCATTAGTTAGATAAACACTTTCCCAACCCAACTTAAAAACTGCTAATTGCTTTGCTTTTATATACACATATTTGAATAAGACAACACCCATACAAATCCAAACCAAGTAAACTTCCCCATGTTAATTCCTTTGAAGTAATCCTTCACCTTGCAGAAACCATAGTACTGCCTTTCCTCTGTTTCATTTGCCGTAAAGACAAAATATTTTTTGACCCTCACTAAGCTTTGCTTCTGAAGGAGACCAAAGGTGGCAGCCAGTAGGTCAAATAACCTCACCACTTGTTTTCAGCTTGCTTGGAAAGTAATTTTACTGCCAAATGCATGGAGCTCAAGTATTTTTAGAACAAGTTTATTTCTATTTTCTGTAAATCACTGGAAATGGAAGATTAATGAAAAAACTATACATCTACAGGTGAAGTTATGACCAAAAAATCCTTGATATTTTAAAGATATTATATGCATTGTTACAACATATGCTTCCACAAAGAAAAGTCTTAGTGGTTTAACAGAATTATACACAGAAGTTAAGATGATAGGAAAATATATTGATAGTTCCATGCGGGACACCACTGGTAACAGTGGACCAGAATCACAGCACAGACAACTGACATAACAGTCAGTACATGGCCCCTAAATTAGAAATACAATCAAAGACATAGTTCCTTCTATTTTTCAACAGTTTAGTTTAGAATACTGAAATTGAGAAGACTTGCTTCATACCCCAGCAATGCTATGAAAAAAATGCATGACTTCTTCATTACGGATTTGAGTTTTCAGAATTATTTATTAACTTGCTTGATAGTGATGAACATTCTGGAAAACAAGGCCAATGTGACCAGAAGCTGGGCAAACAAGAATATTTAACTTTCAGCCAAAGAGTGATGGAACATTACAAATGCCACAGCAGCCCAACTGCTAGCAGATCCTACCAAGGACAGAGCCCTGAGAAGGATCCGGGAGAACTGGGACATACAGAGCCTCAGTAGTTTTCCCTTTATAGTCTGTGTAAGACTCACTCTGATGCCTGGCTTCAAGAGGTAACTCTTCCCAACAGCACTGTCCACTAAATGCATAACAATATTAACTATCAGTTGCGTAGCATGTTACTGAACTGACATTAATCAGGACAACACTACTGAACCCTATTTAGAGGGCTTTATAATAAAATTAAGTGAATCCACGCTCCTTTGTGAGTGTGCTAAGATTCCAGATCAAGTGAAAAAAAGCATTAGCAGAAAGATATCAATTACATGAAACATCTCCACTGTATTGCTTTATGTTTTTACCTGAGTAGATTTATCTTTCATACATGAAGGGTAGTGTACGTGCGGATCACGTGGCCACTGTCCTGTGAGGTAAGGTCCTGTAATTGTGTCCAAAGAAGAAGTTCGCCTTATGGTACCAGAAGTTCTGATTTGCTGGGATTTTGGCCTGTCCACTGTGGAAAACCAGAACAAAATTAAAAGTCAGGCTACATTTGACATGAAATGTTAAAAGCTAGCTTAACAGTCAATGGCAAGAACATATCAGAAGCATTTATCTAAATGCTAAGCCAAGAAGAATGCTATTACGTCAACTCAGATAACATCAGACAAAGGAGGAAAAAAAATACAGAAGGTAGGTAAAACTTAGTTACAAAAAACACCACAATGTGTTTGTACCAGCAAAGAACAAGTCCACCTGTGTGATACATTTTCATCAAAGAAAACAAACAAACATGGTGGTGATGCAATTCAGGAAAGCCAGACATCTTGAATAAAAAAGCATAACAAAGTATCAGTTCAGGCTTTTATTTATTCAAGTCAGCTTGCTTAGCTGTACCAACACTAAAATACAAACCCTGACAAGAAGGATGATCCTCAAGAAAACACACACTGGATTTCTTGTTTTCATGTATTGCATCCCATATTGTTTACAATATCTCAAACAGGCCTAAGCAAGCTAGAAACCTGTGGTTGTATTTTGCCCTGACATTGCTCAGGTCAAGGCAGCTACTATGTTTGCCTTCACTCATCACAGTGCCTACAGTCTTGTATTCCTCCCCCTGGACACTTAGATCATGGAACACTTCTACATTTCATTTGTAAAGCAAAAAGTACAGTGATTCATGAGATTGTTCCTTCCCACATCAGAATTTTATGGCAAGCTCTCTGGATCATCTTGTTTTGTCCTTTAGGCAAAATTACTTCATACACTCATTTTCTAGACTTTACATAAGCCAGTCTAAGCCCTACATTACAGCTACTGTCTATCTTGTTCACCCCCACTGAAGGAGGTTTGCAAGTGCAACTACTTTCAAAGCAGTCACATGCTCTGCAATGATCTGACCCATCAAAATCCTGTTTGCTGCTCAGAACTTGACAACAACACTTGTTTGTACACTTATTTGAGGCCAAACAAGGTCAGGAATCTCCAAATGCATTTTCTCTTGTTACACTGCCTAGGCGTCAAAAGGCAGACTCCATCACCAATGCTCTTCATAGCATTAACACAATGATTAGGGTATGACTTGCACTAATACAAGAAAGTATAAGCCTAAACCACATACAGTCAGAGCATTAACTGAGGTCTATGCCTTGTTCTACAGCCAAAGGAAAGGCAACAGTAAGCCTTACATTGGGAGCCCACAGAATTCCATTACGAAAGGAACAGAAAGTAGCACCACCAAAAGCCACTATATTTTTTTTTCCATGGCAATCTTGGAGGTGAACTGCAGAACACTTTGTAAAGCCCTAAAGCTAAGCAAATGAAACTCCAAGTCTTTTAAGCACCTACCACTTTTCAGTATTTATTGAATCACAGGAAATAAATTGAGGACAGTTTTTCAGCTGAATAAACTAATAAAACAAAGCTACCACTAATGTAATGCCAACTCAAGTGCTGTCTGCTCCTTCCATATACACCTTGGATGGTACAAGGAGATGCATGAACCCATAGGACAGTGATAAACTGAGTTAAATACAAAGAAAATTAAAACCTATGCAAAAAAAAAGTCATAAATACATAGTTTTCACCATTAGAGGAAGAGTTGACAGAACATATGGGGCAGAAACAACCACAGGGGAGCCAGGAGGAACAACAGGGCTGCAGCTATTAACTGGCTTGAGCAATATTCACTAGTTTCAAAAATTACTCATGTTTCAAACTATACCACATCTAACAGCACTCGGTGTATGAACAGATTTCACTACAATAGTAGGAAGTCAGAACAATTTTGTTTTCTTTTTCAGTGATGTGAGATGCTTCATCTCAAAAAGAGCTGCCTCAAGAACAAATAACCTTAGGAATACAGTACTTCAGTATCATGTTACTTGAAAAAATAAGCTACAAATAACAAAAGCAAGACATACACTTATAGGAAGGCAAAATACCTCATGCATTCTGTAAAATATGCCACAAGTTTTAATGGTATGTATTTAAGGGCTTTTGCTAGACCTTTCTTGATTTTACATAAAATGACACAAGGGCCCACTTGAATACTACAGCTGGTAAAATTCCGAGTGATCATACCTCCCAGCAGGAATCAGCTAACACAAGCTGCGTGAAATTATGGTTCTGCATGCTGTATCAACAGCCAAAAGAATTCTAACTATATCACCTAGAACGACTGAAAAAAGGTTTCCACTTCTCTGCCAGCAAAACGTAATTCAGTACAACTAACACGACAGTTCTTTCAAAAAGGATGTAGGGTTCAAATAAAACCATCTGCTACTGCTCTAAAATGGAGAGATTGCCTCCCTACGTAACACAGAGGCAGCTAACCTGCACATAATTTCAAGCCACGATCACAGCCTGTTTTGGCTTAAATAATGTGCTCTGCCATGCATGCAATAAAGCAAATTACCTGCAGAAAAGGAGCAAGACTGAAAGCCAGTATCAGTACAGTCCTGAAAACTGCTTCAGCTAAATCCAAAGCTCACTTACCAGCATCTTTTCTTCCCATGTCTCTTAGTATCTAGCAGACACAGCTCAAATTTGGCCAAAGCCCTTCCACTCGCATCTTGGCATGGATATATCCAGCTCCAAAACACTAAAAATATCTTGAGAACTTCTCAGATGATAGATTCCTCTCAAGTAGAATGAAAAACATGAATTAAAAATAAAACTCATTCATCCCTAAAACCAGAAGTATTGTCATCTCATTACCAATGTCACCTGACTGCAAGTCTTCCATCAAAAGGCTAATCTTTTCTTCAAAGCTCACCTGTAACTTCAATGACCAGCCCAGTTATGATACCAAGAAGTAACACTGCAAATTTCCACATTACAGGTGTGACAGTTTCATGATATGTTTTTTTTTTTTCTCTTCAGTTTAGTTACTGATGCTCTACAGAACCTGCTGGTTCACCTTCAGGGCCACTAATGAAATGAGTTTCAAGTTTGAAATTTGTTGGCAAGATTTTTCCTAGGAAATCAATGCTAACTTCCACAGAATTTGTCCAAATACACTTAACAAGGCCTGCAAGACTCTCGACTCACTTGGAGTGATGTGTTGCACTTCTTTCAAAAGCCCCAAAGATAAAGTTCTATTAGTCTGGATAGAAGATGTTTACACCAGAAACCATAACACAAAGGAGAATGAGCCACATCTGGGACATTCCTACTGGAGACAACAAGCTTACAGCAATTTGCAATATCAGTAATTCAGAATTGCCTGTGTTTGGCACTTTTTAAATAATGAAGTACGCAGGAACACAGCACAGGAATAGAAATTGTAACCTAAAAATGGAAATAGGAACGGTGACCCACACTAACTACTGAGAATGGCAGCCCAACACTCAGGTCACGTGATGACAGTAGCCAATATTACTCATGACTACTCAAAACATTTCTACTCCAAATCCCCCTCTTCTGCTACACCTTTTCCACACATTTGTTCTTCCTTTATTTCAAACTGATCTACTGGGTACTACAGAAGTAGACATTCAGATAGAAGAGGAGCAATGGCCTGGTTAGGTTTTTTCAGCTTGTTGTTTGGTTGTTTGAGTATATATTGATACCGTACTGACTCCTAACATACATTCAATGGCACTTCCCATTCTGATTATGCAGATAGATGGACAAACCAATGCGTATTTATTTTCAGAATTTGTCTCTATTGGCATTGTGAGGGGAAAAGACTGAATAACAGGGAATTAGAAGCTGCTCAAAAAAAAACAAACACCATTTTATCTTCCTTCTCAGGAAAGCTTTTCTCTTGTAACTGGAGCCAAAAATCTCTCAAGAAGAGGATTAGTGAGAGATTTGGGGTACCCAGAAATTTTACTCCACAGGATAGATCTATAAGCTCAAAAGACATTTCCCAGTTGCCAGTGACTGACAGACTTGTTCCTGAGCAAATCTGCAGCCTTGCTGACCTACTGTATTAGCAGCTCAGAGAGGTGCAGAACAACAATGAGCACGCTGTTTGCCACATGTGGTTCATTCAAAATAACCAAAAATAGGATTTTATATAGCAACTCAAAAAACACCCTAGTATGCAGCTGGAATGCATCAAATATGATTTTTGCATTATTACAGTATTCCTCCTATAATTTAAACAGTTTGATCACTTTACCAGCTTAAAACAAAGCAAAATAGTTTTTTTTTTTTTTAACATTCAAAATGCACTATAGTGTTTTGCTTCTAAGGGAATATGACAAGAGTCATTTCAAGTTATTCCGATCCATTAGAAACAATACCATAATTTCAGCTCCCTATCTGTATTACGCACACCACATTGTTTTTTTGATTTGACTGTTCTGAAGTTTCCATTTTTAGAAGCTGAGACTAGATGACTAAAAATGAGTGGAGATGACATTATGAAATAACTGCTCTAAATAGACAGATACAATTAACTCCAGTTTCTCCTCATCACTCATAACACTGAACTGACCAAAAAAAGGAGGTACAGAACAGCATCATGACCTACTCCAGTCTCCAACAACCAAGCCAAATGCAGTCCACAGGTCTCATAGCTGCCATTCAAAGTAATCCAGCAGCTCAAGGGCCAAGCTGACAGAGGAAGCTGTGACAGAGTGTGAGTAAGCATGGCCAAGCCAGACAGGAGGGTTGCAGGTCCATGAGCAATGTGCTTTCTACATCATGGATTTTTCAGAATATGTAAAAATTATGGAGCCCTTCTTCCACATATAGCACTTCACAGCTTAGTAGTTAAGTCAATGCCTTTTGTAGATCATGAGGTTTAGGAGAATTCAAACTGAACTGCATGAAACAGCAAGTATATCAATATAAGAGGTAGCTTATAATGAAGAACAAACAAAAATAGCTTGCCCTTTCAAAGGAAAATTGTAGACAAACACCCACAGTAAGACTATTCGGAATCAACTATTTGAGTTATCTTCTGCAGCCATGACTAAGGAGCCTAGAAAGGCAATACATGTTCTGATCAGTCACTAAATCCAACATGTAGGTCAAAGCACCTCCCCATCACAAAGG